TGTATCTCATCAAAAAGTTTTGTGCATCAATCCAAAGCAATTTTTTGTAATTATCAGAGCCAGAAGCACCTCTACGAAATGTTTTTTAATTAAAAGTTGTTTCAACTGTTGACTTGAAATTTTGAAAACTAAAAAGGGAATATTCGAATTTACACTTAATTGAATTCACTAGAGTCACGTCGCCCCTCATGGAACGATTTCAGTAAAAATTGTTTCCTCAGCTTTTTGGTACTTGCTAATAAAATAAAAGTACTACAAGCACATTCTTTGCTGTATTATCTACATGCTTGTGTAAAGACAGTCTTATCGGCTTTTCTCTCTTTCTGTACAAGCAACATTACTACAGACTACATTACTAGGTGACTCTATCTTATTTTCACGCTATTGGCTGAGCAAACAATAGCTTAAACAGACAGCAACAAAACTTATTGCGTGATCTGCCATACTTTGCAGGTGTTGCAATACTTTTGTCCTGATAGTGTATGTCAAAATAAATTTTGTGCATGCTTTTATGGCCAGCAATTGGAAAAGGATCTAGGCAGCAAAAGATGCCAACCGTTTCAAAAAGCAAAGAGATTGGAGAAGACTGAAAATAGGACTGCTGTGGATTGTTGATGGAATGCAGGTTCAAAACTTCATGTAGAACTATGGCGGCAGAACGAGAAGAAAACAGCCAATGCGTTACTGACAGTGGCAGTGACCAATATTTTATTTATTTTGCAATAATAGTTTTATGACCTATGTTTTTTGTCTGAAATAGTTTAGTGTAGTCTGAAATTTTTCTCTCTAAAGTTTTGGTGACCCTGTTGAATCTCTTCCACCCCGGTCGGTTCAATACTTTATGCACTGACAGAATTTTAGGAATGGTGAATGAAATGCGCAAAAAAATAAAAACAAAACTTTAAATTTTCTCAAAAAAATGCTACGATAAAAATTAACGAATTCTGAGAAATTTGATAGCTACCATGACAAAGTATGCCTTGTTGTAAAATCTAGCCCAGTTCTCCAGTGCCGCCGCTTCTTCCTTTTGCTCCATTCTTGCCGGTTGTTCTACAGATAATACATAGAATCCACAACCTGCTAGTAGGCCACCAGAAACGGTTGCAGCAAATTTGCAGATCTTTGTCACTAATTCCCAATCAATGTCCCCCATCGCACAATGACTCCGAATACAAGCTTTTTAGGCACAAAATTTTGCAGGACAGGCAGCTCCACTCACTGGCTCCACTGAAGTCAAAACAAACAAAAGGCATTATTACGAGGAAAATAGCTGCGCAGCGCTATGTGTATAGATCAGTGTGTGCACTGGCACTGACCACTGGCAATGGCCTGCGTGCAGCCTCTAAGTAGTCTACGTCGTAGACCCCCTCTTCCAACGGGAGGGAAAGTCTATGGCAGTGGCGGAAGTTCAGGCTTTCATTTGGGGGGGGGGGGCCAGGCCTACGATTTTCCGACAAGATAACATCATGGACCATGTATAATTTTAAAGAAACTAAACATTTTGATAAAAATTGTTTATTTTTTGACGGGACTCTTTAGAAATCTTTGCTGACCACGCCATAATTAAGTAGCAAGAAGAATAATCCATTTATGATTTTTGATATCAAGATTGATATCTCATCTAAGACAATTGATGATGCAAGAGGTAGACCGATTACACTTTTGACAAGTCGTACGTTCATTTTATGCATTTTATCTTGTTTTCATCAGTGAGAAATATGTTTGAAAATAACTTTTGTTCAGAAGAATCCGATGGAAATTTTGGCAAATCTTTACGGAATTGAAATTAAATATACAATTCACAAGCAGTTTTGATTTTGGTCATATATTGTTTAATTGATTATTTGGTACTGGATAATATTTTATTAGCTATGCTATGTTCAAATTTTGCAAAAAGGGCACAGAGAGGTTATAAAGACCCCTGGGGTAAAAAAGGAAACGTGGATCACGTGGAAAATTTGGCAGTTACGCCCCTTAGAAGATTAGCTTAAAATACCTTTTCAGAACGATTTCATGGAGTAATTTCGACACGTTAAACGGTTGTCAATTATCGACGAAAGCCCAAATTTTCCGACGACATCGCTGATTGGGGGTGGGGGGGGGCGAGCCGCCCTAAACCCCCATAATTTCTGCCACTGCAGCAATAGATGGTGTTAATGGAATCTATAATACAATAACAACAAGCATTAACCAGATAGCAGAAGAAAACATACCAACGATAAAGAAAATAGAACCAAAGTGGCTGACTGCCAGAACTGAAGATTAAGCAATTAAGAGCAAATGATATGTGGGGAAGGCACACAGTGCACATTCAGTACAATTTTGAATCTGTAAGGCTAAAAAAGAAACTAAATAATGAATGTGATGAACCTATGAAACTACCACATGCAAAGCAATTCTTTGCAAAAATGGAAAAAGAAAACCCAAAACACTTGGATGGGGCGGAATCATTGATAAAGTAAATACACAATATTGGAAAGATAGGCATCATTCTATGAAGCACTTTTTAATGACCTGAGTGAAGAAACAATGTAATGATAGACTGCCAGAACAAACCATCTATTCCCATGATCTTGAAATCAGAGATCATTAATAATATCATCAAAATGAAATATGAAAAATCACCTGGCAATGATAACATCAGCTGAATTTATAAAAGCCAGAGAGGAACCTATCATTTACGCTTTTGAAAAGCTTTTCAATCTGATACTGACTTCCATCCATCACTGTCAGTTGTCATTTTCAAGAAGGGAGATAGACAAAGATGTGACCAGTAAACTCTTCGACATGATGATCATAGCAAACCGAATAAAGCCAGATAAATATTGTGACATTCCATCATCTCAAGTAGCCTATAAAACAAATAGAGGCACAACTGAACAAAACTTGTGTTGTGTTTATAGACTTTACGACAGCATAAATCAAAGAGAAATCTGGAAAGCCCTTGATAAAATGTTTATAAATCAGCAATACATAGTGCTCCTTAAAGCATATTTGCATTCTACAGCTCAAATTAAGACTGATCTGGGAGTCACAAGAGAAAATATTTAGTGAAATATTCAAGGGTGTGAGACAAGGGTGTCAAACTCTTTATTCTGCTGATCGATGGAGTAATAAAGAGCAGTCTATCCGAGAGGCACCCGTTGGATACCTCAATAGGTGGATTGTATATCTCTAGCTCAAGTTTTGCAGATGATATTGCTGTCGTAAATCAACATGATACTGCACTCAGTTGCAACATTTCATTAATAGGTTAGCCTTCACTTTCAAAAGTGTCAGTTCCGAATATAAATATCAAGAAGACAAAGTCATTCTCTGTTCAAGGAATAAAGAACCATTAAATCTTTTTATAAATAAAGAAGCAAAAGAAGAAGTTCAGAACTTTGGAACAAGTTCAGAACAAGTTCAAAACCTCAGATTCTAGATTTCTGCTAAATTTGTAAGCTCAATGCCAGTTTGAATCATATTAATAAAGGATGGGAAAAAGTGATAATCAGCAAAATTTTGAAAAAATTCTTCCCCAAATACAGAGAACGACCCATTTAATAGTTTGTAGTGATGCATTTATGGTATTCTAATGTACGGAAATTCCCAAAAGGTGAACAAACTGGTGTTTTTTATTTTGTTTACATTTTTTGATTTTGTTAGTCTGTAGTGCAGACTTCTGCCTTTTCTGTATGCTGCTGGCTGGTCTGTCCTCTGCACTGGATCTGCGGAAGTGAATATATATGATATGGTTTGAGAATTTTGGTGTACTTTCTTGTTGTTTTTACCATATTTTTTCTATGTCCCAGTATTTTGCAGTATTTCTTAGTTTTTTGCAGCTTCTCGTTTCATTTAGTTTCGTTTTGTTGATTATAATAAGCCATAGTTACTGTTAAAAGTAACTATATCAAATATATTATCATTCTTATAGACAACAAATTAAACTGGAAACAACAAGCTCAATATGTCAACACAAAAAACTTCAAAAAGTATTGGAATACTTGCAAAAATGAGGCACTGTCAAACAAAAAACTGTTTAATAAATTTCTCTATAAATGGTTACTGCAAAACTATTAGAACATTTAAAAATTACATTCTATTATGACCTGAAAATTCTTACCCCTTCCCTAATTTCCCTGTACATTTACTAATCAATGCTATCATTAAACCACCATTCCCATTTCCCTTTTTCTTATTTTCTTTTGTTTTTATTTTCTTCTTTTTGTTCTGTTACCGTTTAAAAAAACTTGAAATTAAACTTTGTAAAATTTAGCTCGTTGTCTTGGAATTTTTCATTTACAAGTACCTATATATTATATTTTATTTAGTGCTCATTGTGTTATATATTCAATAAAAAGGACACTGGGCCAGAAAACCTCTGGGTTTGTCTCAATGTCTTTAGCAACATTTAATGGAAATTTTAACTTTCCCTACCATAATACCTACAATAAATTTTATAATTGTTAGTTATTTTCGTATACTTTTAAAAAATGTAATGGTCCTGTTACTTCATCATCTTCAATTTAGCAGTCGCTTTTTATTTTTCTGTGCTAAATCATATGTAACAAAGTGTTGTGAAATGAAATATTTGAAGTTTAATAACAAGTAACTGGTGTAGGCAGTAATTTTCGAGAAGTTCGTTGGAATTCTAACGAAACTTCCCGAACTTTCCCAGATCAGCATGAGCAAGCATTACGTAATGGTGTAAAAATATTCTTCATACTTCTAGAAATTTCCACAAATTGACAAAATCTTACCAATTCAGTGTTTCTAGAGCACTAACTTGGGCAATCTGTTATGTGTGCATCCCAAAACATAATATATAATTTACATCATGTAAAATAAACCGTTTACGTCGATTTTTTCAATTTTATTGCCTTGAAATGACAACCTCGTACCCAATCTTATGACGTATTGTCGCGAATTGCACTGTTGTGGTGCAACATTTCGTCAATTTTTTTCTCTGAGTCAGCTGTGATTATTTGAAAGACGACGAAATAGTCTAATTCGGTACAATGGATTGCAAAAAATTTGTTGTTTTTATCTTGCTGCTTGCTGCAATAACAATAGTACTGTCCAAGCCAAACGGTGACTCAATTAAAGAGCGACACAATGAATTTAGCTCAGTACAATGTACCCCACCAAAGGAAGATGGCTTAGGGAAGCTCCATCATCTATTTCTTCGGGATGGGGAGATTTGGAGATGTGTCGATGACTCTGGGTCAAATAATTGCAAAGAGGTTGGTTTGTTTCCCAACGAAATCGAAGACTGTGAGAGATGTTGCAGTAACGCAATAACATCGACAAGGTCCCCCGACTCTAGAACATGGCCAACCGAAGAAATCAAAGCACGTTTGTGTGAGTGCATGACTAAACATATTTGCTTTTACTAATTATACAATGAATGTAGGTCATTATCCTAAATGTTCCTCATTACCGCGCCAGATATTAGTATACGGACAGACTCCTAAAAACATATTTGTTTGCTGCTGATAATTTGACAACTTCACATAGTCTCTACATTCCTTATTACTTGGAAGGTTATTCACCCATCATTATAAGATGTGGTACAAATATCACTTTAAAAACATTTTCTGGCAGCTTTATGATATTTGCATTTGTGTAGGCTACTAAAGTACAAATATATAATGATTGTACAAATACATTAACAATGTAATCTTTTTCACTAGCCACCAAGAAACTGCCAACTGGTAACCTGATGCCAAAACCTGAAAAAACTGGTAGAACAACAAAAAAACATCTCTTCATTGGATTTCTTTATGGTGGAGTCCCAATCATAGTAGTGGTTATTGGTGGTAAGGTTATTTCTTCATTGCAATTGTCCTGTTTGAGCTGAAATTATTTTGCTTCTGAATTTTTTTAGTGATGGAACAATGAACATATTATCTAATTTTTAATAAATAGTGTATGATAGTGTATCAAATTTTAACAAATGCACAAGGGGATAATAGGGGTCCTATCTTAATTGGTGTTGGCCACAAGATAACATGAAAATTGCATGCCTATGCCTTACTTTGCCAAAAGCTTATGCCAAGCTATCCTGAAATATAATCACTAGTGATTTTGAACTTGATTCGAATATGCTCAATTTTCTAGCTATTGGGCTTGCATGGAAATGCTGCCAAAAAAGTCAAGATACAGAATCTGAAAATGCACAAAATGCTGAAAAAATGCCAACAAAGAAAATGTATGTTGGAATTCCCAAACCACTTATTTCAGAGGAAAAGGTAAGAATGCTTAGATATGTGCAACAGAAATAATCTATTTTTCTAGTGATATTTCATGGTTTGAAGCAGTTTTAGCAATGGATATCCACAAGCCACACTGTAATTGATGTAACACCATTCTAATGATTTTGTCTGGTTTTACTGACTTTTACTGTGCTGAAAATTCAAGTTCTTAAAATGTACTTTTTTATTTATTTTCTATTTGTAGGGTTCCAATGAACAATGGGTGTAAGAAGACAACATACTTCCATATGAAGATTGACTTATGTAGCACCAACAGACCTATTTTAGGTGGATGTACATTTGTATAAATTTCTTATTTATTTAAGTTTTTTGTTTTTGTGAAGCTTTTATACACCTGGCAAATATTTTGTAATGTTATAGCGGGCTACTACTTTGATCATGCTTAAGAACAGTGCTTCCTCTTTCTTCCTAAGCTTGAATCACAGTCTCTGTCATTCCATATAGTCTTAAGAACGTGGGCTAAGTTGATTAAAAAAAATAAACATTTTTGGATACAGGTATTCAAGAAACTGATAACAAAGGAGCACTGACAACTGTTAAAACTCATAGTGTTTTTATATATGATATATAATTGTTCCAAAAAGGTTTCCCACAATTTATCTAAAGCTGAGAACATATCCTAGGGATATGCAAGAACACAGAAAAACATATAATTTTTATAGATCCTTAAAACTAATATCAAAAAGCTTGATATTACCCCCTTTGATATTGGATGTTTTTCCTTCTCATTTTACGATCTTTACATTATATGAACCTTTTTAAATATCAGAAGATTTTATAACTGGCTATCCCCAATTTTTAACTCCATAAGAATAAAAGTGAGTGTTGCTATGGAAACTAAGCACTGAAACATCATTGAAGTCAACCCACTCTCAATACATCTCGCCATGTATGCATCACCAATTATGTTCTTCTGTGTCTAAAAAAGAAAGCCAGTGATTAGATCATTTGGCCTGAAGGTTAACTTAGAACTGTGAAACAGAAGTATATTATGCCACTGTAGATTTAGTTAACAAATTTGTCAATTTAAATTGCTTAAATCTGTGAAATTTTGAAGTAAACATTTGCATTCAAATTATATGGAAAATAATGTAAAAAATATTTTTAGGTGTTTTAACAAATTGTTGCTAAAATACATTTTTAGAAAAATGAAATGAACACTTTTCTTTGTTCTGATAACTCTGAAAAGAAAAGAAGAGCAAATTACACCAATTTTTTCTGCCTTTAAAAACAATTTATTTGATTTTGAAATTTTGGGGTGCCAAAAACTTATTTATTTAATTTCATTCCCCCTGTCAACAACCTAGATCTACAAAGTAACCAGCTGAATATTCTTCAAACAAAGAAGATCATTATGATTACTTAAAAGAGGGAAAAAAGATGAAAATTTGAAGAAAAGTTGTGTAAATTTTTGGAGAAAGTCGTCTTTAACTATTTTGAAGGTTGAAATTTTTCTGCAATCAAGAGCTTACTAATGCTGAGAAAGGAGGAAAAAATGGCCTTATTTGAGCATAAGCCATGAAAATGAAAATAACAGTAGACCTAAAAACTTACTATCTCCTAACTGGCTCTCTACAGTGGAAAATCTTGCTGATGGTGGTAAATGATTCTTTACTTCCTTGGTAATAACATTCTCAAGGATTGCTTTCCCCTAGGTTTAGGAACATCAAAAGTAAGATGCTGAACAATTTGTTGAACAATTTGGTTTAAAGTTGATAAACCATGTTGAAAATCCCAAATTGAGCAATGATTATATTGGGATTTTTAAGATGATTAAGGCAAACAAATTGTAATTGACTGGCATGATTGTCAGCATGGTTTACCTTTATTAGCCAAAATACATTTTATGATTTGCATTTCTCACTTTTGAAAATTATTACCTTTAATAAAGAAGATGGTATTCTTTCTTGTTCATATATAAAGAATTTGGCAAAAACTAAAACCTCTTAAATATATACCGTTGAAAATAAGAAACAATGGAGAACTGATTTGTGGAAAAATGACAAAAAGCAGTCTTACCTTTCCCTTGTGGGTTTTTCCAATCCCCAATCTACAGAAAAAAGAACAAAATCTTAGGGTTTCAGAATCGTTTCTCAATCAACATAAGAATAAGTCTCCTTAAGTCATTCCTTTTAACCTCTATAAAGCCTACATTGTTCAAAACTGTTTTCTTAAGTTTTCAAAGTTTCAATCATATAAAAAGACAACCAAATTTAAACAAAGGCAATTGGATACTAAGTTACAAATATTTGATATTCAATACCATTTTACTCAAAGTGGCAATTTTCTTTCCAAATACATGCTGCTACGTGTTAACCAACTGAAGATTAACTTTCAATCTTTAATCACTCTATCAACCTTAAGGCAAAGTTCCATATCTACTTACAAAATATAGACATCCCTGAAACATTAATTCAGAAGAGTCCAGCTTTCTGTGAAATAAAATATTCTATTTTCAAGCTTACAAATAAAAATATTCTTACTTGGGAAGACCTTTGTTAAGACCCTCAAGCATGACACATGCTTTGCAGAATTGTTGACTTGAAATATAACCACATTTTGTGCACTCACCTTTAAAATGGAAGATAAACTCAATGAAAAAACAAACAGGGAAATTTTACAATATAGCTAAACCTTTTTCTTAGAATTAACAGGATTACTATTTACAGGCCTTGTGAGGAGCAAAAAAAGGACCTTGAGAAACTGAGCACCTTCAACTTTCCAAGCACTCCATTAAGCATCATCAAATATAATCAATATCAAAATTTGGTTTTCGCATTTTGTTGAACTTCAATCATGATCAATCAAGCTCTTAGAACTTTCTAGGCACATGTGATCAAGCTCAAGCACCTCTCCTTGCAAGGCCTGACTTGCAACTGTTATTTAAAATCAAGTCTTTAGTCAAGGTCAGATGACCATAGTCCTTAAACTGGTAAACATAGCGTTATAGCATTCATGACTATAAACTATCAAGTGAAAAAGTTGAGCAATAACATTTCACTAAAACATCACCTCTACAACAGTTAACAATTTGAAGACAGAATTTGAAGATTAAAGACAAAACCAAATAGATAAGATAACGGGAGAGAACATTGATGGTACTTTAGTTGGCACATGAATGCTATGTCTCTAAAATCAAATTACTTGCTAAAAGGATTAATAACTATGTTCATCTATAAGTTAGAAATTAGCAGTCATTCAGCATCTAGCACCAATAACTAACAAAAAAGTGCCTTCCAGTCAGAACATCTTATGTTTCTTGCTTAGACCTTGGGGGACCGAGTATATCAAAAATTGTTCAATGATGTTAACTGTTAGGTGTTGTGCAAAACGATGATTTACCTAAAATATAAGCTAGGTAAGCCTTGATACAAACAGCTTTGTGAGGTTATGAAGTAACTTTGAACAAGTTTATGCTTTTAATTTCATTTCAAAATCCAGGGTAGCCCCACTCATCTGGTCTTATCAAAACAACAAAGCTAATCAACATTCATCTAAAGAACAACTGCTGTTTTTCAAAAATTGGCTTATCTTGCAGAACTTAATCCTACACCCACAGAATATCATATCATCCAGAAACCTTTCTTTCTGAAACAGTTGAAGTACCAGCTTACTTAAGTAAGAATTTTATTACTTGACTTGCTCTTAACAAGTGTTTTCACTTGCTTTACTCCTTTTCTCTTAGTATCTGCATGGTTTCCTTTTTACAAAAGTCCTATATTTTCCAGAATGTATAACTCTAGCATTAGACATGTTCAATGGTGTGAAGCAGAAAATGATGGCTTCAATTGTTCTCCTGCTTTGTAATTTGTGTTTTCTTTGTCTTTAATGTCAATTCTAAAACGTTTCAAGATATCTATGAAATTTACAAACAAATATGCACGATTTTGAATCTAAATTTAGCATTTCTGTCCATTTGAATGCAAATATTTGAGCATGAAGAAATGGTATTGCATTACTATATAAAGTCTTCAATATGCAAATTTGAATCAATTGCTTCGATACCTTTGACCTAGAAGTTTGTTTCTTTTGAGAAACTGACAATATTTACAAAATAAAAGTTAAAACACAAGAAACAATTTCAATCTAAAGTGATGCTGCAAAAGTTACTACCTTGAATGGGCATTTTAGCATCCTTCCGTATAGCCAAACTTTCACCAGAGTGTATAATATCTACGTAAAAAAACAATACCCAGACTACAAAGTCTAGCAATGAATCAATGAAAGAAATTCCAAAGAGGAAGTTGCCCCTTTCTACTTCTGATGTGGTCTATCTTGAGCAATGTCTGCAATACCCCAGCTGTGACAAGGTACTGGGTTGCATGGTGCCAACACACAGAGATAACGGTACAGTTAGTCTAATTACTGAGGAAGACAGTGGAAAGGAATTATAGGAACTGAATGCAAGCACAAAGGAATTATGAGCAAGAACTAACAAAAACTAAAGGGGGCATATCTTGAACAGATCACTCAAGGGTTATTACACAAACATTCTTTCTGGGTTTAGCAACATGGGGATTTTGATAAACCGTTCTTGATAGTAATAAAAATATATTATTTTTTTGATATCTTCCGAGGTAAAGCACTGACGGATGAAAGTTTGCCTCATTCAATATTGATGTAGCCCTTGTATTGGTTTGTTTGTTCCAATTTGCACCAGGAACAAGATCTCTGAGATGTACAGGGGTTTTTGATCAGCGGTTTTTTATCAGTGGTTTTGGGTTGAGAATTATATGACAGGAAATATTGAATAGGAATTATGCAATAGATCAACAGCAAGTCACTACAACCAACTGCTGCATTACTGGACAAGTTATCATGATTGACCTTTCAAAGGTCAATGAAACACAACAGTAATTAAACAAGTAAACAAGGCAGAAGAAGATTCTTGGTGCTCTTAAAATCAGATAATCATAATAAATTACTTAAACATTTCTTAAGATTCCTTTACTGGCAAACCCTCTACAAAAATAGATCCTTCATGGCAACATTTTTAAGGACTTTTGAAAGATTTCTTTACACATGCTCATACTTTGATTCTGAATCCTGCATGCCCATAAGTTCCTAAATGTTGTTCTTACATAGACAAGTTTTATATAATAATAATATAATAATAATAAAAATATATATTCAGGATAAAACATTTCAGCAAATTGTCGCTGTTATCAGTGTGTGTCCTGCTAAAAATCATAAGTCAAATGAAACTAATAAAATTTCCCAATACAACTTTTCAATGAAGCAAAAGGTTAAAGATATTTACAATAGGCCTTTAAGCTGTTTAAAGTCAAGTCATTTGTCAGTCAAGTCATGTCAATGTCATGTTTTTGTCAGTTTTACTGCAATCCAATATCCTTAAAAATCTTAAAATCATCCATTTTAAAAATTTATCAAGATACTAAAAATTAATAAAGAAATGGTTTATCTTTTGAAAGATTGCAAAGAGAATAACTAGAACTCACCAACAATAGAACTTGGCCGAATTGACTCTAAGTCTTTCAAAAATGTCCTTGCATGACCCCTAAAAATATTCATATTTTTGCTTGTCACTCAAAATTCTTCCAGCTAGTTAAATCAATAAAGATGTTGCTACAAATAGATAATAAAATGGTTTAAAAGCCCCCCATCAATGGGAAGAAAAGCAAAGGCAATGGGCAAAAAACCAAATAAGAAAAACTAGACAGGGAATTCACCAGAAGCATAAAGAATGATAAGGCCAAATATATAGAAGCCAAGTGCACAGAAATAGAAAAGAGTCACAATGAATCAAAGAAAGTTTTTAAAGTTATTAAAGAAACCACAGAAAAGTGGACACCCCGAGCTGATGTTATCAATGACTCGGATGGCACCACACCAGGGCCATGGTGGGAATTTTTATGGGCTGGGAAAATCAATTTTTTAGGGGCACACCAATTCCTTACTGATTGTTCCTTGTAGTCATCACTTACAATATGTTGGAAATAAGTGTTGCAGAGGCAAACTTCACTTATTTTTTCTCACAAATCTCATGTTACAAATGATAAAAGATTAAAAGGAAGAAAAATCCAAGGGGCCCACAGAAAAATTTCTTAGAGGCCTACCAGGAAATTTTCTGAATCCCTGTGAGTCACCGTGCCCCTGCACCACACTCACAGCAGTAGAAGCAATCAAAAGGAGATGGGCTCAATACTGTGAAACACTCTATTGGACCAGGGATATAACCAATTGGTCAGAAACGCAAGGATAACAAAGGAACTACCACCATTGAAAGAAGTAGAATGGGCTCTTAAACATATCCCAAATGGTAAATCACCTGATGTAGATGACTTTCCCATTGAGATTTGGAAGGCAACAGGAGAGAGTGGTATTCACATGATGTGGCAGTTGTGTAATAGAATTTGGTAGCATAAAAAGTGGCCTCAAGATTATATCCCTATAACTAAAAGTGGAAACATCAAGGAAAGCTTAAACAATAGCACAATAGATCTTTTTGTGCATGCAGGAGAAACTCTCCTCAAGATCATAGTAAATCGAATTAAGAAATATACAAGGACGAAGTAGGAATGGGGCAGTCAGGATTTATTGAAGGCATAGGTACGAGGGTACAAAGAGAGAACAATAATCCCCTCTATATGTGTTTTATCGATTACGCCAAAGCTATTGACTGCGTAAGTAACTACAAGCTCTGGGAGCTAATGGACAAATGGAATTTCGAGGCCACATAATAGATTTACTAGTAAGCCTGTACGAGGAACAGGAAGCAACAATGAGAACGAGCAATGGAGACACTGCGTGGTTTAAAATAGGCAGAGGAGTGCGAAAGGGTTGTGTTGTATCACCAATGCTCTACAACACATACGCCAAGGACATAATGAGAACGATTTTCAGCGATTGACAAGAAGGCATCAAGATAGGGGGTTTGCGATTGAGTAACACAACCTTGTAAAGTAATACAAAAGAAGGCCCCGAAAACACGATCAGACAAACGAGTCGGCGCAGAAGTCAGCGCAGCAAAGGGTTGGCTTCTAAATGCCAAGAAGACTAAGATCATGGTAATAGACAAACACTGAACAGATTTCAGCAGCATCAAACTAGATTAGAGGAAGTGAATGAGTGAATGATCTTGGATCCACCATGGGTAGCAGCAGTCAAGAAATACGAATCAGACTTGCAATGGCAAGGAACACAGCCCAAACATGATCAGCATATGGAAAAGTACACAAATCAGTTTGAATTTAAAACTTCGACTTCTGCGAGCAACTACTTTTGCTGTTGCTTATATGGAAGCAAATCATTGGCGCTAGCTAAACAGGATGAGAAATGGATTGATGCCTTTGAGATGTGTGCACACAGAAGACTTCTGCGGGTGAGCTCGACAGACAGAAGAACAAATAGTTTGATTTTGGAGAAATTAGGTACCAATATGACACTCCGTAAGAACATCAGTGCACGGAAAATGTGTTATTTCGGTCATATTATGAGGAGAAACGGTTTAGAGAAGAAATTATTGCTTAAAGGCAGGATAGAAGGTAAATGAAGACAAGGAAGACCAACAACACCATGGTTTTAAAATATTTCAGCTGCAGCAACATCGGCAATGGAACGAGATTGGTCTCGCAATCACAGCAACCACAGCAGCCCATTTCGCGCCACCTGACTAAACTGACTGACTGAAAAGCCCCCTGTCTCTGTCTTCTTGGCTAAAATCTTGGCAGTGGCAGAATAAACTCGCTGAATATCAATGTTTTTTTTCAATCAGTTGATAAGAGAGGGGCAATGATTGAGGGACGAATTAGAAACCCAGCCCTATCAACAATCTGTTAATCTCCATCAACAGTGCCACCAGTGCCCAATCTAAATCAATTGCCACAAAAATTGACATTAATTTCTTAAGTTATATTTCTTTTATTCATTTGCAGTTATGACAACGTCAGTTGCATATCCATGTAAAAGCTTTTTCGTCTGACACTCCTCAGAGCATAAAACGTCAGAATAAGGGTCCGAAAGAACACGATGAAAAAAGTTGTGGATCGATTTTCGGTTTTTCAAAAGATGGTCCGCAAAGTGCCTAGTTTATCTGAAACTACCATGGATTGGTAACACTTTTTTTCGATTCCACAGTCGGATTAAGCAAGCCATCACAAAATGTTTCATTGCTGTCAATCCTCGGATTGTTTACAGCACTAGGAGAGCCCTTCCATCCATTCAAAAGGATTGCGTTCCTACCAACCAAAAAAGTTCCGTCATTTATGAATTTACGTGCCAGTGTGATTATGGCTACGTAGGACGCACAACCCAAAGATCGGGGGATAGGATAAAACAGCATGTTCCTTCCAACATACGAAACAAAACTGCCCCTCAAAGAGAACAGCCTCCTCGATCTTGTAGGTCTAGAAACACTGTTAAAACAAGTGATGCTGCCATCGATCAACATCTTTTAGATAACCCAGATTGTGCAAAACTCTATTATGACGACATGTTTCGGAAAATTGGCAGAGCCCAGTCGTCTTTCCATCTAGTAGTTTTGAAATCAATCTACACACAAACGAAAAAGCCGCCATGGTGTAGACAAAAGTGGGTATGTATTTTCCATCGTGTTCTTTCGGGCCCTTATTCTGACATTTTATGCTCTGAGGAGTGTCAGACGAAAAAGCTCTCAGTCAATATGTTGTTTAAAATGTTCGCTTTTTTCAAAGCCATTTTCAAGTTCTGTACCGTCAAAAAACTGTCAGTTACCTGTAAGCATTTGGAGAGTAAATGCATTCTGTTGAAAAATAATCAAGTTTCTTGAAATATGCATACCTGGGAAAATGAAAAAATATAATAAAGAATGGAATACTTAAAATAACTTCACAACAGAGACAGTTTAATGTCACACTGTGGAGCAACTGATTCAATGGTGATAAAAAGGATGTCCAAAGGAAACAATACCCAATGCCCCATGCTTGTGGTTGCCAGAAGAGACTTCAACCCAGAAGAGGTTTCAACCCAGAAGAGGTTTCAACCCAGAAGAGGTTTCAACCCAGAAGAGGATTCAACCCAAAGAAAAACTAAATATTGCAAATAACAATGGCCCCACAAATGTTTCAGCCTTGGATCCTGCAGTCCTTAAAACCACTGCTGAACTAAATGAGTGACAAAATTTTTAAGAAAATCACAGGATTCTAGTATATTTCTAAATGAAAAAGGTTTAATTGTGTGTACAACAAACAAACAAATAAGCGAGGAATATAATTTTTAAGACAATTAACATAAAACAACTAACAGAACATTTATAGAAAATGTATCCATGAGAGCTCTTGGAAAAATGAAGAAATCATTTGGATTTGGATAGCAAGTCACTTAATAATCAAAATCCCGTTCAAAGGTTTCAACTCTGTTGATCTAGGCGGGAGTCTCCCTATTGGAGAGTTCTCTTCTTGTTCTCCCGCTTTCAAACCTAGCCTTCCGCTTTCAGGAAATTATCTGTAATTAAATTATTAAATTATAAATCTTATCTAAAATCCCATTTCGAAAAACATGCTCAGCAAAGAAAGATCTATATGAGGGTATGTGAAGGTTGCCATCGTACCCTTCTTTCAGTCGTTTATGTTGTCAGGCAGGCGGTTCCAAATGTTGAATAGTCGGAAATAGAAGAAATCCCCCCTACATCAATTTTTCAAAATTTGGGGGAAATTCGCTAGAGATGGAACCTTCTGTAATCTTGTACACATTAAGAGAAATAAAATTGTGTACACTTACAGAGAAATGCAATCAGCCAGCTTCGAAGCAACTTGACTAGAGAACTCTATATGAACATACTTAAGTTGCAAAACTCTCATATTAATTGAAACAGTAATTATGTTACACTAGACCTCTGATAATGATCACCCATAGCAAAGCGTACCATTCTGATTCTTTTTTAAAATTCTTTCTTGCGTGAAAATCGATCTTCAAATGCATAAACTGAATAAGTTAGAAAAAAATCTCTCATAGATTTTCTAGAAAGCCCCGGATGAAATACCTTTTCCCTCTAAATACAACAGCTACCTACTTTCAGCGAGGATACTTACATAACAATTTCCTTTTCGTAGGTGTATTTAAAAGGCTTGCATCTGGGGATTGCTCCTTCAGAGCCCTGAAATAAATCATACAAAATTTTCAACTACCCCTAGCAAACAACTTAGTAAGCTAACAACAATGTATTCTTCAACAAAGTTGAAAAAAGCTCCCCTGATGTTGTAAAAAAGACACCTAAAATCACGCTGATTCCTTGCCTACATTAAGGCCTTTATTCATTAACATATTACTAATTCTAAAATATTACTGTGGTCTCATACCGTTGTTATTGAAGTGCATCTTCGCAGTCGTGCTATGTCTCCTCGTAAGACTAAAAAAGTAACAATAAAAGTAATAAAGACAATTTCTTATACAATCACATCGATATCTTGAGCAGGGTTGTAGCTAGCCGGGGAGGGGGGGGGGGGAAGCGATAGAGGATGTAACAGCACCTAAAGTCTTCATGAGTTGGTAGGTAAATCTTCCATTTGCTCATAAAATCCTTACTTTAGTTGGTCGGTAAAATCGCTTATCAGTAGTTGAAATAGCAACTAAATTGACTTCTTCTACATCCACGTCTGCGGTAAAATTTACTCTTGATGATCCTCCATCTCCTGGCCTAAGAGGACAAGCTACGCCACTAAGGTTCTAGAGATGCTGTTTTCGAAAGTCAAAATATGAATTTACCATTCATCAAAACAGTTTCAGCTATGTCATCTGCATTGTGTCCTTAAAAAAGAAAGCCTCTCGTTAGAATTTTCATACACATTTGCAAAACAATCACAATTCACTTACTACTTATTTTTTACTTTACCTACAATGCACCTCGAGTTTTTGATGGAGGCATGATTTGCTGAAGCAATCATGGTGAGGGGTAATTGCTAACAATAATTGAAGATACAACGGAAAAGCAAAAATAAGGAGCCATTGAAACAGTTTTTTGGCTAGTCGGATGAAAAGTACCTTAGTCTTAGTATGTATGCCTTGTTTACGCTTTTCGATGTCAATCCTCAAATTTTGTGGCAAAATATAATAATTTGAGAATAATCAGTCAAAACTATAAGTAAGGTAAGGTGTGTCTGTGGTGATTGGGTATATAAATTTATATTGCCAAATGACATTCAGCAGTCACTTTCAGTAATTGGTGCTAAAATTTGGAAACGCCAAGGTACCGAAACTAAGCAAACAGCCTCTTTGAATCGATTCAAATCTTTGGTTTCAACATTTCTATCTTTCTTTTACATAGGTTTTATAGGCTTTTCTATTTTTGCTATAAGCTTCAGACTTACTTGGCTCACACAAAGACCCAAAGAAAAACATGTCAAAAAATCATACTTGGACTAGAATGCTGGCAAAATACAAATTAAAGAAACTCTGGAGTGTTTTTTGAGATGCATTCAACAGTGACTGCAGAAAAAGAAATATCAACACTAGAAGCTGAGGATCTATTCTTTTAAACTTAATAACAATTTGGAGTTTCCCAATCTGATGGATGGGATGCAGATTTTGTCGTATTTTACAAAGCAGGCTGCAATAATTATCGACATCCTGTAACTGAAACTTAAAAGGGAGATGATGCTATAAAATTAAAAATGGAACAGTGACAGCTGAATTGAAGAATTCGGTTTTTTGTTCGTTGCAAACAACCGGAAGCTTTCATCCATCGTGATTTGATTCCAAGTTCGTAAAAACAAGCGATCAGAATATTTTAGCATTGTTAATATTTAAATTTCAGCTATTACAAAGCAACTTCAGCTGTAAAACTATTAGTTGTATGAAAGTTCTAAAATAAGCTTTTGTGGCCACGTAGTTTATTCAACCTTTAGAAACACTTAATAGAACTCTTCTGTTCTTCAACTGGACCCACTTCTTGATAGCAGATTAGTTCTGTCAAATGTATTTCTCGCACGAAATTAGCATAAAGAGATGTAGACGACGACTGGTGCATTGTGCTTCGCAGTTTCAGAGACAGGGCCAAAAAACTGAGCCTAGGGGGCTAAGTCTGCCTGCCTGAAAACAGTAAATGTCTGTTTTTAACCACAGTTATATGAACATTAGGTTATCCGAATTCCTCATTCATTCAAACAATTTGTCTCGGTCTTTTTAACCCCGCTAAAAAATTCCCGTAGTGTACCTCGACTAAACTTCCGTTATCCGAATTCCCCGATTATCACAGTAAATTTTACAGTTCCATCGCAAAAATCCCCCTGTAAGAAATTTCGTACATATCAACCATAAATCTTGGACATTCCATCTTTTCACATAATTTACTCTTTTTCTCGAGCAAATTTATCAATAAACTCTTAGCCCTGCCTTAATCCCGCTTTAGGAAAGAAGATCGTCGCTCTAAACCTACCCACAAACTAAACAAAATCCAGCTTTACAAGAGAGCAGACGCTAATTTATGACTAGTTTGATAACGTTTGAAACAGCTATAATCTAATAAAAGCTTATGAAAAGTTCTTAAATAGAATTGCATTTTTCTTTTGCATTCCAAACCCCAAATATTTGAGTGCCTGGTTGTTAGAACTTATTACCTCCTTCCCGTGCGAAATCTAAATTCTAAAAATGGATATTTATGATGTCATCGTGTAAGAACACTTTTAATAAAGAAATACAAAAGATGTTAGAAAAAAGGGTAAGATAGAAAAAGACTGATTCTTACAATTAATAAAATAATTGCATCAAAACATTTAAATTTCGTTTAATCAAGCTTTATCAGAAGAAATTTGATCTAATGAATAATTATTCCAGCTTCCAAACGCGTTATTTTAAATGAAAAATTGAAAAAGCATCAATATTGAATTGAAAAGTGCGAATTGATCCCATCATTTATTATAATTTTTATTGCGGTCAAAGATATTTGTTTACCTGTCACAATTTTGTTGGCACCAACTAGCATTGCACCTCTGTCCAACGCCTGCCTTCTAAATACTCCACAAAATGTACCTGGAATTATAGAGAAAAACATTTGATCAAGCAGCAATAATGACCTCACCAACAAAATTTCTTAACAATATAAACAGAATTGGATATTAAAGAAAACTGTCCTGAGAATTCTGTTAGGAAAACTTTAATGACAGCTTGATACCGAATCTGCAATATTTTTAGCAGAAACTTTCAAAAGGAAACTCTACAAAAAGGATCAGCAGTACAGAATTAAACACAGATTCTACTACAGAACATGTGAGAATACCTACTTCAAAATACTACATAGGTCCTACTTCAAATTACCAAAAAAGTATAGTAAATATATATTGTGGAACTTGCATAGTCAATGACTTAGAAACATACAATTATTCTTCAATCCAATCTGTTTTACAATAGCATCCATTGTCCAGCCATACAATTCCTGTCAAATAGATGTAAATAACACATCAAGACCTAAGCGCAATAAGTAGATTTTAACTTTTGGTACTAACAAAAGACTTACATGGTAATTAAATTTTATTGACAAATTAAAAGTGTCTTACAAAGAATAGGTAAATAATAATGTATGCTTCTTGGAACATAAACCTAAATTAAAAGATAAGTTTGCTTGCCCAGTTACTTTCAAATTTTTGTCACTAGATATCTCTGCATGCTCTGGATTCTCCAGTAAATGTTGACATATTGCAGTATCGCACACTTTGCAAGGAAACAGAAAGCAACATGCAAAGAGAGTTGAGCTGATTAGTTTTGGCAATGTTCCAATTTAAAACCTTCGAAGCTCATTAGTTGATTTCTAGGTTCTGTTGACATTGAATATTCTTATTTTGAAGCATTTATGGGAGAGATTTTGAATGAAAAAGTACCTCATATGAAACAATCCTTAAAGGTAGATCATACTGAATTTGGTTCCTTTTCACTGTCTATGAAAGAAAACATAACAGATATATGCTATGGATGAAATACATGCACAGTTAAAGTAGTGGAGATACTGTAGCATTGCATCCTGGCTGCAGGAAGGAAGTCCATAACAGAGCCGCCAGAACCAGGTGGGCCACAGGGGCACAGGCTACAGCATCTGTTTGCAAAAAGTATAAAAAGTGTCCCTTTTGATAAATAAATTGCGTGTTTTTTTCAATGCCAGATATTCTGTCTTAAGAAACTAAGTAAAATAACATAACTCTGGGTGATGTTGGAGGACCATTTACTGAATTTCCTTGAATTTTTACTTGGTCTTGATGCAAAAAACTCAAGATCCTGTGATGAATGATATCAACTGTGAAGGAGACTGCCATTTTCGCGAGAAATTTCCTTAGTAGGTAGTGAAAGTTCCACATCAAGTTCCCGGCGAGCACAGTCAGTTGGAGCAATGTATATCGTGTGTGACCCCTATCTCTGATTCTGGGTTAAGTAAAATGTACCCTATTCTGCGACTTTGTCACAAATTGTGAAACTCGTTTCACTGAGATTCTTCAAGCTTGAGCAGGAATTTTTAATACCAATTCATTCTAGAACCATTCCTTTTCTTGAACGTATGTCTAGGCAAGTTAAAAAGCAGAGTTCACTAAATTTGATGTTAACAACAATCCCTTATGGTTCTTAATGTATATTAAGTTATTAACAAAACCAGACAGCTGTAAAACTATAACTGCAACATATTGCTTACTTCACAACATTGTGTTAGATGTTTTTATGAAGACATGAAAAAGCTGTGTCCCTGCAATGAATACATGCTAGCAGTAGAGGGTCTTTAAACCAAGACATAAATTTCTTATCTAGGATTAGAACAACATACAAGAGGCTAAATTTGTTGTACTTCAATATAATTCCTGTCCTTTTGTGTTTCCTCTGACTGATAAAAAAGCAATCCTATTTTCAAGATTCTATGTCCCAGAATTCTAGTTTTCAGATCACCCTTTCTCAGAGTTTTTCGGAACTCACATGTAATACGCTCGATCAACTGACTGAGCCCGCCGGGATCAAGTCTAAGAAGAGTTAAAAACCTAACCAATGTTGCAAATTGAATTTTTTATTGCAGTGAAAAATGTATCCGCACCTTCAGCCGATTGCGTAAAGATTACTTAAACATAAAAATTTGTAGCTTTTAGAAAATATTCCGTGGAGGCGAACAAATTTATGTGTTTAAGTGGCGATGGGAAGGCGCGAATACCAAGGGGGACTAAATTGGAATGGGCTTTCGATAATCATAGAGACTGAAACTTTGCTTTGAAAGAAAGAGGGACTGGAATTGGCTTTGAAGTATGACTAAGAGTTCGAAAATTTCATTCAGTTCATAATTTGGATTGGATTCGTTGGTATTTGTTAAGTATAATGCGCTTGCCACAAGTGTAAAAGAAGGATGTGTGCCTGCTTCTTACCCGGGGCCAAATTCACCTACAATGCAAATTATTAGGAAAACAAGTACAGCCTATTGTAATAGAGGTATAAATCATAGATGGAAGAAAGATTTACACTCTCAAAAAAACTTGAAGGCCATGAGATGGGAAGCTATACAAATAATTATGATCAAGAGTGCGTAGTCCCTAAATGAAGTAAATAGTCATGTCTGCTTTCAGCGAAGATAGTTCTCACTATGTCCAGCATGTGTCATCATTCTTACAAAATTTCTAAATTACCACGATATTTGTACCATTTTTGGCCCTTACTAATGTTTCGGAAAAATATATTCGTGCCCTTTTTATTAGTTTTGCCCCCCCCCCCTCTTCAAACCTGCGTGCGGCGGCCCTGCATAAAGATGCTACTAATGGCAGGAAAAATCCATAAATAATAGTAAAAAAGTAGGGAGTCAATGCACATTTATCCTCTTCTAATATTATCAACTATGGTTCATTCATGACTAATTGTGTACAATCCTTTCATTTCATCCAGTCTCGGAAAACGAAAACCCAATTTCCTATCAAAGTTTTTCCTAAACCCACGTATAGTTGAATCCCAATAAGGTGGGCCTTGAAAGGGGATAAGGAAATTATTCCAATTTAAATTGGGTATGAATTTGATTAGAATAAGGTAGTGATGGCTGGCACCCAAATATATGCTGTATTGGAAAGCAATGAAGAGTAAAGCAATACAACATCACTTCAAGCACTGTTTTTTATCTATCTGATGTTAAACAATATTTAAGCATACAAAGTGACACCAGGGACGTAAATTGGCAGATATTTGGGGGGGTGGAGGCCTCAAAATTTCCGACTGACAATGGTCAATTCCAATTTTGTATGAGGGCCTAAACTTTACTAGTTTTTTATCAACAAAACCTTGTCTCGTAAATAATTATTCAGCTGTACGATAAAGTCTCTAGATTTCGTAAATTTGGAACATCGAGGTGTTAATTTTTCTCTTTCTACGACTTGTCCATTGCTCCACTATCTGATCTAAATTTACGTTGTCCAAAATGTCTTTCTCACAAGTAAGAATCGTGAGGTCGTTTAGTCTTTAACAGGGGCGGCGCCAAGAAATTCAAAGGTGGGGCGGGTTGGGGGGGGGTTGAGGCTGTTTGAGGTAGAACTAGAATTCATTCAGACTGAAGAACCATCTTAATATAGAAACAATGCAACTAAATACATTCACGTAAATTTCATGTTTATATATTATGGGACAGTATAGCCTTAGCGGTTTGTTCTTGAAGGCTCTTCTCCATCAAGTGGCCGGCGGCGTCAAAGGAGGCCTATGTCGTACAGGGTCCCCTTACAAGTGCACTATAGTTCAGAGGATAAACGTGTCGAAATTAAGACATTCCCTCTCTTTTATTATTAGTCAAAAATTACACCTATCATGTCCCTACGGATAATACTTCTTGCCAGTAATTCTTCTTGCAATATTCGTTCTAGAAACTTCGTATTCCTCTATAAGCCCTTGCTATCGCTCTATACCGTCTTGATAGAACTTCAAGTCCTCATTATGATTATTAATTCTATTACTATGAGGCCCCTAAGACCTGGCGCGGATTTAATTCCTTCGCGAATTATAGCAACTATAGATTTGTCCCGGGTTACTTATGTTCTCTTTCTTGTTAGACCTATTTCCTTACTTTTTTATTTGGCTGTAAAAATACACTTTTTGCATAAAGGAGAGGGGGGCTGCAATGCATTAGGTCCCCAGCTCCTCTAACCTTGGCGGCCGCCTATGTTTCATTCGGATTCGAATATCCGAACGCGAGAGAAATTCCCTTAGAATAGTTCAGGAGAACGTTCACTGTCGCATTTCGCTAAGCATATACTGTTAAACTATTATCTAAAAAATCTATTTTGCATCCCAGAGTTTCTGTTAAGATGGCTAATTTGATGGATCATGATATTATCACGGAGCTTGTTCTATACCCCAATTACGACCGAATTGTATATGTCAGAAAAATACGATTGCATTTTCATACAAACTATCATTTTTTCGGTATTGCGTCGCCACTCATTCTTTTCAGGACTGTCTTTTACCAAACAACTATTTTCTTTTGAACTTATACCTTTCTTATGCTTCTTCCTTAAAGCTACAATTACAAGCGTCAATTTGAGTCAAGACTTCCAACTTTTCTCACACTAGCTACGACTTCAATATTTTTACCGATATAAGCCTAGCTTTGCTACCTAACAGCTTTAAATTTTCCGAACCTGTCCTCAAATCTCTTCCGACTGGTATGAAAGATTGATGTGAGGGTGTCACACCTCCCCACGATCCCCAGTATTCTACGTTGCCCGAGTGGTCACTACTATTATTTAAAATGTTTCCTGCATCAAGAAAGCATCTCAAATCCTCAATATCTTTGCAAATCACTATCCAATTGAATTCTTTTGCAACAACCTAAAACTCCTATTAAGTACGATCACCTTTTAATTAACTTAAAAGATGTGTTGACAATCTATTGCGTCTTATTCACTTCTCACTTGTATCCCTGCCATACTGTCAACGACATAAATTCTCGTATCGCATTTCATCAACAGATCAGCCCATGCAAAA